TTGTTGAACTAAATCTAAAAAGAATTTAAGGAGGATATGAGGAGATATAATCACAATATATATGATACTCAGGGTAATGAGATGACCTGTAGAGAGACGACTTTTTTTAGGTTAGGGACAAGAGAGCGGCGGGTCACAGGTGGAAGGTGAACACACAAGATGAGTCTGATAAATGTATGGAAATACTCGTTTACAGAATGGTAAACACAGACATAAACTTGAGACAGAGAGAGATGATGGAACCAATCTTCAAGAGCAAGTATGGTAGAGAACTGGAACACCAGGAGGTATACATGCACACCAGGAGGTAGACATGCACACCAGGAGGTATACATACACACCAGGAGGTATACATGAACACCAGGAGGTATACAAGCACACCAGAAGGTATATACATGCACCAAGCGTGTGTGTGTGTCGGTGTTGGTGACACACCCGTCACCAACCCTGACACAGCCGGAGCTATAGGGTCATTAGCGACCCCCCCCCCCCCCGCCCATCCCCGTCTCCCTCAGACAACAAGACTTTTTCAATTATTTTAACGTACCCGGTAACTCCTTGAAGGAGAGATGAAGCAAGGCATCACGCTGCCTCCGCACTGCCACTTGTCTCCTGACGGCGTCCCCGGCGTGATAGAGTAAAGTAGCTCTGCTTTACCTCCTTCCCTGCACCATCAACATGGGTTTGTCTTTACGAACTCTACAAGCAAAACTACCTGCTACACTACCCCCACCCCCTGTGTGTGTGTGTGTGTGTGTGTGTGTGTGTGTGTGTGTGTGTGTGTGTGTGTGTGTGTGTGTGTGTGTGTGTGTGTACTCACCTATTTGTGCTTGCGGGGGTTGAGCTCTGGCTCTTTGGTCCCGCCTTTCAACCGTCAATCAACAGGTGTACAGGTTCCAGAGCCTATTGGGCTCTATCATATCTACACTTGAAACTGTGTATGGAGTCAGCCTCCACCACATTACTTCCTAATGCATTCCATTTGTCAACCACTCTGACACTAAAAAAGTTCTTTCTAATATCTCTGTGGCACATTTGGGCACTCAGTTTCCACCTGTGTCCCCTAGTGCGTGTGCCCCTTGTGTTAAGTAGCCTGTCTTTATCAACCCTGTCGATTCCCTTGAGAATCTTGAATGTGGTGATCATGTCCCCCCTAACTCTTCTGTCTTCCAACGAATTGAGGTTCAATTCCCGTAGTCTCTCCTCGTAGCTCATACCTCTCAGCTCGGGTACTAGTCTGGTGGCAAACCTTTGAACGTTTTCCAGTTTAGTCTTATGCTTGACTAGATATGGACTCCATGCTGGAGCCGCATACTCCAGGATTGGTCTGACATATGTGGTATATAATGTTCTGAAAGATTCCTTACACAAGTTTCTAAAGGCCGTTCTTATGTTAGCCAACCTGGCATATGCTGCTGATGTTATCCTCTTGATATGAGCTTCAGGGGACAGGTCTGGCGTGATATCAAACCCAGCTCTTTCTCTCTCTCCGACTCTTGAAGTATTTCATCTCCCAAGTGATACCTTGTATCTGGTCTCCTGCTTCCTACCCCTATCTTCATTACATTACATTTGCTTGGGTTAAACTCTAACAGCCATTTGTTCCACCATTCTTGCAGCTTGTCCAGGTCTTCTTGAAGCCTCAAGCTGTCCTCCTCTGTCTTAATCCTTCTCATAATTTTGGCGTCGTCAGCATTTCTGTGTGTGTGTGTGTGTGTGTGTGTGTGTGTGTGTGTGTGTGTGTGTGTGTGTGTGTGTGTGTGTGTGTGTGTGTGTGTGTGTGTGTGTGTGTATGTGTGTGTGTGTGTGTGTGTGTTTCTCCCTCTCCCTCTCTCTCTCTCTCTCTCTCTCTCTCTCTTGACTCATATCCTGCCATACCCAAATGGGAATACATTAATCATAGTGATTAATACCAATCAGTCATCCCCTCTCATCTATACACCACCTTGGACTGAGAACACATAAGACACATTTGGAGAAGCGGGTGATCAACTCTTTCCACTCCGTTCCCACTCAATAACACCTTCAATCTCACCTTCTCCAAATCCTCCCCTTCCCTCTCTCTCCATCAACCCCCTCCCCCCCCCCAAAAGCCTAACCCTTTCACTCCTCTTTATCGGGTTAATTACAGATAATCCTTAATCCCCGCCTACCCGGGGAGCGCCGCGCCTCATCCTCCACTCCGTCATGATGTTACAAGCGTTATACAGTGTCATACATACATACATACATATACAAGCGTCGCTACGCTTGCTCGCCGTGTTTATGTGAGCGTGCTTTCCTTTCACTGTTTATTTCTCAGTGTGTGTGTGTGTGTGTGTGTGTGTGTGTGTGTGTGTGTGTGTGTGGTGTGTGTGTGTGTGTGTGTATACTCACCTATTTGTGCTTGCGGGGGTTGAGCTCTGGCTCTTTGGTCCCGCCTCTCAACCGTCAATCAACAGGTGTACAGGTTCCAGAGCCTATTGGGCTCTATCATATCTACACTTGAAACTGTGTATGGAGTCAGCCTCCACCACATTACTTCCTAATGCATTCCATTTGTCAACCACTCTGACACTAAAAAAGTTCTTTCTAATATCTCTGTGGCTCATTTGGGCACTCAGTTTCCACCTGTGTCCCCTAGTGCGTGTGCCCCTTGTGTTAAGTAGCCTGTCTTTATCAACCCTGTCGATTCCCTTGAGAATCTTGAATGTGGTGATCATGTCCCCCCTAACTCTTCTGTCTTCCAACGAATTGAGGTTCATTTCCCGTAGTCTCTCCTCGTAGCTCATACCTCTCAGCTCGGGTACTAGTCTGGTGGCAAACCTTTGAACGTTTTCCAGTTTAGTCTTATGCTTGACTAGATATGGACTCCATGCTGGAGCCGCATACTCCAGGATTGGTCTGACATATGTGGTATATAATGTTCTGAAAGATTCCTTACACAAGTTTCTAAAGGCCGTTCTTATGTTAGCCAACCTGGCATATGCTGCTGATGTTATCCTCTTGATATGAGCTTCAGGGGACAGGTCTGGCGTGATATCAACCCCCAGCTCTTTCTCTCTCTCCGACTCTTGAAGTATTTCATCTCCCAAGTGATACCTTGTATCTGGTCTCCTGCTTCCTACCCCTATCTTCATTACATTACATTTGCTTGGGTTAAACTCTAACAGCCATTTGTTCCACCATTCTTGCAGCTTGTCCAGGTCTTCTTGAAGCCTCAAGCTGTCCTCCTCTGTCTTAATCCTTCTCATAATTTTGGCGTCGTCAGCATTTCTGTGTGTGTGTGTGTGTGTGTGTGTGTGTGTGTGTGTGTGTGTGTGTGTGTGTGTGTGTGTGTGTGTGTGTGTGTGTGTGTGTGTGTGTGTGTGTGTGTGTGTGTGTGTGTGTGGTTTCTCCCTCTCCCTCTCTCTCTCTCTCTCTCTCTCTCTCTCTCTCTCTCTCTCTCTCTCTCTCTCTCTCTCTCTCTCTCTCTCTCTCTCTCTCTCTCTCTCTTGACTCATATCCTGCCATACCCAAATGGGAATACATTAATCATAGTGATTAATACCAATCAGTCATCCCCTCTCATCTATACACCACCTTGGACTGAGAACACATAAGACACATTTGGAGAAGCGGGTGATCAACTCTTTCCACTCCGTTCCACTCAATAACACCTTCAATCTCACCTTCTCCAAATCCTCCCTTCCCCTCTCTCTCCATCAACCCCCTCCCCCCCCCCCCACAGAGCCTAACCCTTTCACTCCTCTTTATCGGGTTAATTACAGATAATCCTTAATCCCCGCCTACCCGGGGAGCGCCGCGCCTCATCCTCCACTCCGTCATGATGTTACAAGCGTTATACATAGTGTCATACATACATACATACATATACAAGCGTCGCTACGCTTGCTCGCCGTGTTTATGTGAGCGTGCTTTCCTTTCACTGTTTATTTCTCAGTGTGTGTGTGTGTGTGTGTGTGTGTGTGTGTGTGTGGTGTGTGTGTGTGTGTGTGTGTGTGTGTGTGTGTGTGTGTGTGTGTGGTGTGTGTGTGGAAGAGTAAGTTTCAGAGCTTGTTCCTTGTGTTTTTGGTCTTACTGTTCAAGTTCTTTGTTGTATGTATCCTTGAAGCTAAGGATGGAGGTGGCTTCCCTAACTTCTTCTTGACTAACCCATTTATAGTGCTAATATGTTCTTCTATTTCTGACACACGTGTTTCTATCTTCCACCCTTATTTCTTGTCTTGTTCTTGCCTTATTTCTTGTTGTTCTTGTCTTATTTCTTGTTGTTCTTCCCTTATTTCTTGTTGTTCTTGCCTTATTTCTTGTTGTTCTTGCCTTATTTCACCAGCCTTAGTCACTGTTACGTAGGCCCCTCAGCTACCACCATCACCACCACCTCTCAACAGTAGGTGGTGATGGTGGTACAGGGTTACCACGACCCTCTACCAGCCTACGACCACGACCCTCTACCAGCCCACGACCACGACCACGACCCTCTACCAGCCGACGACCCTCTACCAGCCCACGACCACGACCCTCTACCAGCCCACGACCACGACCCTCTACCAGCCCACGACCATGACCCTCTACCAGCCCACGACCACGACCACGACCCTCTACCAGCCCACGACCCTCTACCAGCCCACGACCCTCTACCAGCCCACGACCCTCTACCAGCCCACGACCACAATCCTCTACCAGCCCACGACCACAACCCTCTACCAGCCCACGACCACAACCCTCTACCAGCGCACGACCACGACCCTCTACCAGCCCACGACCACACTCAGGAAACAGTAGCGTCCCTCCCCTCACCTCTCTTCCCCTCGGCCGTGAATGATGTAAACCTTGAAGGGGGAAAATGAAAATTGAATTCGGTCCTGAAAATGAGAAATTATCCATCCCGTTTCCCGAGACCTGAAGATATACACCGGGGACACAATACTCTCTTCAAAATGTGCATTTGTGTGTGTATACACTCATACATACATATATACATACATAATGTAACTCATTATGTATCAACTCATCATACTTTAACTCAAGGATTTTAACTCATGATATGAGTCACGAGGGAACTCATTACCGTGTAACTCCTCATGGTGCACCTCATCACAATGTAACTCGTGATGTGTTAAGTCATCATGGTGTAACTCATCATGATGAATCTCATCATATAACTCATCGTGATGTATCTCATCATATAACTCATCATGATGGATCTCATCATATAACTCATCGTGATGTATCTCATCATATAACTCATCATGATGGATCTCATCATGTAACTCATCATGATGGATCTCATCATATAACTCATCATATAACTCATCATGATGTATCTTATCATATAACTCATAACGGTGTAACTCATCATGATGAATCTCATCATATAACTCATCATGATGAATCTCATCATATAACTCATCATGATGAATCTCATCATATAACTCATAATGATGCATCTCATCATATAACTCATCATGATGGGTCTCATCATATAACTCATCATGATGTAAATCATCAGGTGATCAGGCCTCCTACTCAGGACAGACAGACGTCCTACTTTATAGATATAGAGATCTATATATACACAGTCACAAACACAACGACAAACACAGTCACACATACACTAAAGCGAGAGAGGGAGAAATGTTCTCTCCAACACTCTCCCTCAATCTCAAACACCCTCCCCCAGCACATACCCCAGCTTGCAACACCCTTCCCCAGCACATACCCCAGCTTGCAACACCCTCCCCCAGCACATACCCCAGCTTACAACACCCTCCTCCAGCACATACCCCAGCTTACAACACCCTCCTCCAGCACATACCCCAGCTTACAACACCCTCCTCCAGCACATACCCCAGCTTACAACACCCTCCTCCAGCACATACCCCAGCTTACAACACCCTCCCCCAGCACCTACCCCAGCTTACAACACCCTCCTCCAGCACATACCCCAGCTTGCAACACCCTCCCCCAGCACCTACCCCAGCTTACAACACCCTCCTCCAGCACATACCCCAGCTTACAACACCCTCCTCCAGCACATACCCCAGCTTGCAACACCCTCCCCCAGCACCTACCCCAGCTTGCAATACCCTCCCCCAGCACATACCCCAGCTTGCAACACCCTCCTCCAGCACATACCCCAGCTTGCAACACCCTCCCCCAGCACCTACCCCAGCTTGCAACACCGTCCTCCAGCACATACCCCAGCTTGCAACACCATCCTCCAGCACATACCCCAGCTTGCAACACCCTCCCCCAGCACATACCCCAGCTTGCAACACCCTCCACCAGCACATACCCCAGCTTGCAACACCCTCCACCAGCACATACCCCAGCTTGCAACACCCTCCCCCAGCACATACCCCAGCTTGCAACACCCTCCCCAGCACATACCCCAGCTTGCAACACCCTCCCCCAGCACATACCCCAGCTTGCAACACCCTCCCCCAGCACCTACCCCAGCTCGCAACACCCTCCCCCAGCACATACCCCCAGCTTGCAACACCCTCCCCCAGCACATATCCAGCTTGCAACACCCTCCCCCAGCACATACCCCAGCTTGCAACACCCTCCCCCAGCACATACCCCAGCTTGCAACACCCTCCTCCAGCACATACCCCAGCTTGCAACACCCTCCTCCAGCACATACCCCAGCTTGCAATACCTCCTCCAGCACATACCCAGCTTGCAACACCCTCTTCCAGCACATACCCCAGCTTGCAACACCCTCCTCCAGCACATACCCCAGCTTGCAACACCCTCCTCCAGCACATACCCCAGCTTGCAACACCGTCCTCCAGCACATACCCCAGCTTGCAAACACCTCCTCCAGCACATACCCCAGCTTGCAAACACCCTCCTCCAGCACATACCCCAGCTTGCAACACCCTCCTCCAGCACATACCCCAGCTTGCAACACCCTCCTCCAGCACATACCCCAGCTTGCAACACCCTCCCCCAGCACATACCCCTGCTTGCAACACCCCTCCAGCACATACCCCAGCTTGCAACACCCTCCTCCAGCACATACCCCAGCTTGCAACACCCTCCTCCAGCACATACCCCAGCTTGCAACACCCTCCTCCAGCACATACCCCAGCTTACAACACCCTCCCCCAGCACCTACCCCAGCTTGCAACACCCTCCCCCAGCACATACCCCAGCTTGCAACACCCTCCCCCAGCACATACCTCAGCTTGCAACACCCTCCCCCAGCACCTACCCCAGCTTGCAACACCCTCCCCCAGCACATACCCCAGCTTGCAACACCCTCCTCCAGCACATACCCCAGCTTGCAACACCCTCCTCCAGCACATACCCCAGCTTGCAACACCCTCCCCCAGCACATACCCCAGCTTGCACCACCCTCCTCCAGCACATACCCCAGCTTGCAACACCCTCCTCCAGCACATACCCCAGCTTGCAATACCCTCCTCCAGCACATACCCCAGCTTGCAACACCCTCTTCCAGCACATACCCCAGCTTGCAACACCATCCTTCAGCACATACCCCAGCTTGCAACACCCTCTTCCAGCACATACCCCAGCTTGCAACACCCTCCTCCAGCACATACCCCAGCTTGCAATACCCTCCTCCAGCACATACCCCAGCTTGCAACACCCTCCCCCAGCACATACCCAGCTTGCAACACCTCCCCAGGCACATACCCCAGCTTGCAACACCCTCCTCCAGCACCTACCCCAGCTTGCAACACCCTCCCCCAGCACATACCCCAGCTTGAAACACCCTCCCCCAGCTCATACCTCAGCTTGCAACACCGTCCTCCAGCACATACCCCAGCTTGCAACACCCTCCCCCAGCACATACCCCAGCTTGCAACACCGTCCTCCAGCACATACCCCAGCTTGCATCACCCTCCCCCAGCACATACCCCAGCTTGCAACACCCTCCTCCAGCACATACCCCAGCTTGCAACACCCTCCTCCAGCACATACTCCAGCTTGCAACACCCTCCCCTAGCACATACCCCAGCTTGCAACACCCTCCCCCAGCACATACCCCAGCTTGCAACACCCTCCCCCAGCACATACCCCAGCTTGCAACACCCTCCCCCAGCACATACCCCAGCTTGCAACAACCTCCCCCAGCACATACCCCAGCTTGCAACACCCTCCCCCAGCACATACCCCAGCTTGCAACACCCTCCCCCAGCACATACCCCAGCTTGCAACACCCTCCCCCAGCACATACCCCAGCTTGCAACACCCTCCCCCAGCACATACCCCAGCTTGCAACACCCTCCCCCAGCACATACCCCAGCTTGCAACACCCTCCCCCAGCACATACCCCAGCTTGCAACACCCTCCCCCAGCACATACCCCAGCTTGCAACACCCTCCCCCAGCACATACCCCAGCTTGCAACACCCTCCCCCAGCACATACCCCAGCTTGCAACACCCTCCCCCAGCACATACCCCAGCTTGCAACACCATCCTCCAGCACATACCCCAGCTTGCAACACCCTCTTCCAGCACATACCCCAGCTTGCAACACCCTCCCCCAGCACATACCCCAGCTTGCAACACCCTCCTCCAGCACATACCCCAGCTTGCAACACCCTCCTCCAGCACATACCCCAGCTTGCAACACCCTCCCCCAGCACATACCCCAGCTTGCAACACCCTCCTCCAGCACATACCCCAGCTTGCAACACCCTCCCCCAGCACATACCCCAGCTTGCAACACCCTCCTCCAGCACATACTCCAGCTTGCAACACCCTCCTCCAGCACATACCCCAGCTTGCAATACCCTCCTCCAGCACATACCCCAGCTTGCAACACCCTCTTCCAGCACATACCCCAGCTTGCAACACCATCCTCCAGCACATACCCCAGCTTGCAACACCCTCTTCCAGCACATACCCCAGCTTGCAACACCCTCCCCCAGCACATACCCCAGCTTGCAACACCCTCCTCCAGCACATACCCCAGCTTGCAACACCCTCCCCCAGCACATACCCCAGCTTGCAACACCCTCCTCCAGCACATACCCCAGCTTGCAACACCCTCCCCCAGCACATACCTCAGCTTGCAACACCCTCCTCCAGCACATACCCCAGCTTGCAACACCCTCCCCCAGCACATACCCCAGCTTGCAACACCCTCCCCCAGCACATACCTCAGCTTGCAACACCCTCCCCCAGCACATACCCCAGCTTGCAACACCCTCCCCCCCTGGCTGCAGGTCAACAATGGAAGACACCTTGCTAATCCCAAACGACCCCCTCCCCCCCCCCCCCCCCCCTCATCCATAACACAGCAGCAAAAGCTGTGATCTGAGCTAAGGGAGGGAGGGAGGGAGGGGGGAGGGAGGCAACAGCCCTGCAACCAATGCACGTCACTGATGGCCGCCTCGCGTGCAACTCCCTCCTGGTGGGGGGCAAGGCCGGCAGGTTGACCTCCGGCAAGTGTACACACACACACACACACACATACACACACACACACACACACAAATGGAGGGAAAAAAATTATAGTCGCAGTCATATATAATCCACCACCAAATGACAGAAGACCTAGACAGGAATATGATAGAAACAACATGGCCACCATTAACATAATAGAAAGAGCAGCTTCTGTTGCTAGCAGGAATGGATCTGGACTTCTAATTATGGGAGACTTCAACCATGGGAAGATAGATTGGAAGAACAGAGACCCGCATGGAGGACCAGAAACATGGAGAGCTAAGCTGCTTGAATGGGATATAAGGGAAGTTAAGATGGAAGCGCCCTTGGGAATGAGTGACCACAGTGTATTGAACTTTGAGTACCTGGTAGAGCTAGGACTTATCTCCCCCCAAAAAGAACTAGGAATCAAAAGGCTGGCATACCGAAAGGGGAATTATGAACAGATGAGAAGTTTCCTAAGTGAAATACCTTGGGACACAGACCTCAGAGACAAGTCTGTACAGGGTATGATGGACTATGTTACCCAAAAGTGTCAGGAGGCAGTAAACAGGTTCATCCCGGCCCAAAGGGAAAAATCCGAGAAGCAACAGAAGAATCCATGGTATAATAGGGCATGTATGGAAGCGAAGAAACTGAACAAAAAGGCGTGGAGGAACTTCCGGAATAACAGAACACCAGAAAGCAGAGAGAGATACCAGAGAACCAGGAATGAGTACGTCAGGGTGAGAAGAGAAGCAGAGAAAAATTTTGAAAATGATATAGCAAACAAAGCCAAGACCGAACCAAAGCTACTCCACAGTCACATCAGAAGGAAAACAACAGTGAAAGAACAGGTATTGAAACTTAGAACAGGCGAGGACAGGTATACAGAGAATGACAGAGAGGTGTGTGAGGAACTCAACAAGAGGTTCCAGGAGGTCTTCACAATAGAACAGGGTGAGGTCACTGTGCTAGGAGAAAGGGAGGTAAACCAGGCGGCCTTGGAGGAGTTCGAAATTACGAGAGAGGAGGTCAAGAGACA